TTTTCAGGGAGTAAGACATTCCTGCAGTTTAACTAATTGGTGTGTGAGATCTGGTATCATGGATGGATAAAGCTGTGTTATCTGCAAAGCATTGAAAATGTGTGAAGTATCTTAGTTAGATATGATACAAACCACTGCAGCACAGTACCTGTAATACCTACAGCGTGCTCTAATCGCTCTAATAGGATATTATGGTCAACAGTATCGAATGCTGCACTGAGGTCTAGCAGGACAAGCACAGAGATGAGTCCACTGTCAGAGGCCATAAGAAGATCATTTGTAACCTTCACTAAAGCTGTTTCTGTGCTGTGATGAGCTCTGAAACCTGACTGAAACTCTTCCAATAAACCATTCCTCTGCAGATGATCTGTTAGCTGTTTGACAACTACTCTTTCAAGGATGTTTGATATGAAAGGAAAGTTGGAGATTGTCCTATAATTAGCTAAGACTGCTGGGTCTAGAGATGCTTTTTAAGTAACGGTTTATCGACTGCCACCTTTTTTGGCTTCACTCCTTGACAATGCGAATTAGCAATAATTCCTCTTCCATTTTTATATAAATAGACTTCTCCCAGAGCTTGACAGACTTCAACTCCAACATTTTGGACTGCACCTGGCAATTGTATTTCTTGGTCTGCTCCCCGGTCTTGGTGAGCCTTACTGCTGCTGGTTCTGGCTAGAGTGAACGGCGAGCTCACAACAGGTGTTTAAAGCACAATAAGAGTTACTGTTGCCAAGTACAGTCAATACGCTTGGATGGATGAGGTCTATTATGGAGACACTATCACATGTCTGATCTTTGGTAATGATTGAGACGCAGCAGCTTAAGATGTTTAGTTCTAGTATAATGTTCTAATCACTTAAAATAAGCTGCTTTTCTATCAGCAGTAATTTGTTACAAACTACACACTGCTATAGTTTTTATGAAACTGGGAGATAGTGGTATTAGGGTATATATTATATTTTGATGTAGCTACAGTCTTTCTATGTCTTTCTATATCAGTCTCATGGCGACTGAGCCTTCTCTGTGGCAGATGCCGCATTAGATCTACACAAACACGCGATGAGTTTAAATCGTTACCGAAGACACATTTTTATCGTCTGGCTTTTAACAAACTTTGACCTAAACATTTTGGTTGTAACAGCCTTAGTTGTTGTTTTAGTTGTTTTTATTGATTTACTTTATTTATTTTTTCCATATTTTACTGCATCATTGTTTTACATTTTATTTGTTTTAGTGGCATTTTACATGGTTATGCACTTTGTGCAGTATGGACGGTTTGGAAATGTGCTATATAAATGAACTTGACCTTGACCTTGACCCTTGACCTATATGTAAAATGTGCAATCATTGAAATTCCAAATTGGAGTTCAGTAATAGCTGATAATGTAAAAGTAATTAATAACACCATTAACTTTGACTGACTCTAATGTAATCTTCTGTGGCTTGTATGAATAGAAATACTAATTACTGTCTACACCTCAGCATTTTATTATAAAAAGACTCAATAGATTTTCAGGCCATTCAACATTTTACCAGTCCTGAAGAATAGAATACAATAGAATAGAATTCAACTTTATAGTCATTGCACATGTCACAAGTACATGGCAACGAAATGCAGTTTGCATCCATCCAGAAAGTGCTTTAGTAATAATATATAATACAGAATTTGGATCTATTATAGTATGTTACATGTACAAGGTATGAAGGAATGTTATGAATATACTATAAGTATGCACAGGCTATGAACAGGTTATACATATGTTTAAAAATATGAAAACTATACAGATTGTAGATA